TTTTTTTTTTTTTTTTTTTTTGTGAAAATTTTTAAGAAAATTGCAATAATTGGTTGTGTCATAACATAACACAATCAGGACTGTGAGCTTTAATTTCTTTTTTCTTTGCACTAGTCTAGAAATTTTACAAAATTTTCCATGTGAATAGCAATATCTTAAAAAAGACTGGTAAGGACTCATGCAAAACTTTCTCAGCACTCAATACAGTTTTATGAGCTTTTATTAAAAAATAATTTTTTAACAGATAGTGCAACACACAACTTTAAATTATTATAAAAAGCTTATTTTTGGAGTAAGAGTGAGTTTTAAAGAAATTGTATATAATAGTGGTTGCAGCCAACATTTTCATTGTGAAAATGTGAATGTCAGATGTTCAGCACTGTCTTCCTGTAAGCCTAGAAGTTTGACAATGGGGTTTGGAACATCGAGCATGATTCCACTGATGTTCCAAATGCCATTGTCAGACTTCTAGGCTTATAGGAAGGCAGCGCTGGACATCCAATGTTCACGTTTTTGCAATAAAAATGTCAGCCGTAACCTCTCTATTAACAAGTAAAATTTTCATTAGTAAAAGTTGAGGGGATCCCACATGATCCCCTCAACGTTTAATCACCAAAATATAAAAGTTATTTTTATATATGGAGCATTGATTCTGCCAAGTTTTAAAATTTTCAGTTTCTCCAGTCCCGAGATATACAGTAGAAACTTGAGTGTATGTTGGCTCTATTTTTCAAGGTTTTTTTTTTAATTTTTGGGTTCCTGGATTCTCAAAATGTTGAGAAATGCAACAAACAGAAGGGTGTCAAAATTTGACTGATCACAGTATTTTCCTGGCTGTTATATTCTGTACTGTAGGGAAAGTAAAAGTTATCAATGCTGACTCTTCAGTTTATTACTACTGTACATTGCTAGTAATGACCAAACAGTTGATGTAACTACTGTAGGATGTACTGTACTTGCCACTCTGATGGCTGTATTCACCAACAACATTTCAAATTAAAAATTTCATAATCTACAGTTACTGGCTCAAGATCTTGGATTAAGAGTTGCTTCAAATGTTTGTATTTATCAACTCAATCTAATGCTGGATTACAAACTCCACAGCTATAGTACAAGCTCCCTGAATGAATCATGACATGTCTACTAAACCTTAAAATCACACTTTAGTGTTTCTTTTGCCTTAGAATCCATTGCTGTAACTTTGAAACTTATTTTAATAATACAGAATATAACAGTTACCTTCAAATCATAACACTAAAATTTTTATTTTTTGTAAAAAAAAATTGAGCAGAAGAATAAAAATGTTTAATTACTTTCAAATTCTTGCAAAAGCTTAACAATTACTATAAAAAATGGAATATATCCATGTTTTGATATATTCCAACTCTAGAATTAATGCATGGTGAATATGAATTTTAAATGAATGTCCAATCTAAGTCTTATTCTAGATTTAATTTGAGATGGTGAATATTGTTGTGAAAGACTTGGATATTATTCTGGATTCAAACTCAAGCTCAGTGCATCATATAGGAATTTTATGAAAATCCTACATGATGCACTGAGATATGTTGAATCCAGACCTCATCACCATCCTGATCACACACACAATGGCAATAGGAATAGAAAAATCTTCCTAAAGCCTACAAGATGGCAAAGTATAAGGACCTTGAATAAGTTCTCGCTGTTTTCCAACAGATGGCATTACCAGAACCACGTGTGTTTATTTTTAGATGGTGACGCATCTGTAAGGAAGTACAATAAGCGACCTTGAAATTCAGTATATATCATTTCACTGAAGTGTAAACAACTTATTTTTTCATTGTGTTAAACATGTCTAATTTCGTGCCAAAAAAAGAGTATTTGCGGGGAATTTTATTGCACTATTTTATTCAAAAAAAATCTGCAGCTGAAGCACACAGAATTCTTGTTGAGACTTACGGCGACCATGCTCTGTCGGAAACAACATGCAGAGATTGGTTTAGACGCTTCAAAAATAATGATTTTGATGTTGAAGATAAAGAACGATCTGGTGCACCAAAAAAGTTTGAAGACAAGGAATTAGAGGCATTACTTCATGAAGACTCATGTCAGACGCTAGCTGAACTTGCAGAATCATTAGGAGTTGATCACACAACAGTTTCGAAACGTTTAAAAGGATTAGGAATGATTCAAAAGCAAGGACATTGGGTGCCGTACGAGTTGAAGCCGAGAGATGTCGAACGGCGTCTTTTCACATGTGAACAGCTGCTTCAACGGCAGAAAAGGAAAGGTTTTCTGCATCGTATCGTGACGGGTGACGAAAAATGGATACACTACGATAACCCTAAGCGTAGAAAATCGTGGGGTAAGCCCGGTCATGCATCAACATCGTCAGCAAGGCCGAATATCCATGGTTCGAAGCTTCTGCTCTGCATTTGGTGGGATCAGCTAGGTGTAGTTTATTACGAGCTGCTCAAACCAAACGAAACTATCACGGGAGATCGCTATCGACTACAATTGATGCGTTTGAGCCAAGCATTGAAGGAAAAACGGCCGCTATATGAGCAGAGACACGACAAAGTGATTTTGCAACATGACAATGCTCGGCCACATGTTGCACAACCGGTGAAAACGTACTTGGAAACGCTTAAATGGGAAGTCCTACCCCACCCGCCGTATTCACCAGACATCGCCCCTTCGGATTATCACTTGTTCCGATCGATGGCACATGGCCTGGCTGAGCAGCACTTCCATTCTTATGAAGATGCCAAAAAATGGGTTGATTCTTGGATAACCTCAAAAGATGTGTCGTTTTTCCGACGTGGAATTCAAATGCTGCCAGAACGATGGGAGAAAGTAGTGGCTAGCGATGGACAATACTTTCAGTGACGTGTTTATTACAACTTTTTTAAAATAAAGTGTTAATTTTCACAAAAAAACAGTGAGAACTTATTCAAGGTCCTTATAATTAAAAGCAAAAAATATTACCAGCTAAATTGTCAAGAAAATTTAATTGCATGTGATATGAAGTGCCAATATCTTTTACTTTTAGCTCTGTATCCTAAAAAATTTTTTTTGACTTATCTTCAAAACATTTTAAGTTGTATTATGGCATAAGAAAACATGTCTTAAAATCTTTCAAGGCAGCAATACTCATGTTGCAAAATTAGTATGTCATTACATTATTTTACACATAAAATTGGATAAAAGCAGATGAGAATTTTTTTATGAAAAAAATGCAGTTTACAATTAATTATTTTAGCAAAATATTTAAATGGAAGAATACCAAATAAAAAAGATATATAAAATTGTACTAACTTGTAAACTCTGGACTTTCCTTTGAAGCTCTTTGTTTTCCATTTCTAAAGCAGACAATGACCGATTTAATGATGATTTTTCCAAAAAAGATCTATTCAATGTTTCTTCAGATTTCATTCGATCCTTCTCAATCTTTAAAAAATCAAACAGATGCAAAATTTAATTTATATTTAAAATTATTTTTCTATTATTACTATTAATTATTAAATTTAAAATTACCTTTTCTAAAGATTTTTCCAAACGTAACTGTAATTTCTCTAATTTATTTTTTTCATCTTCAACCTCAAAAAATGTGTGCTGTAGTTTTGCAACTTGTTCTTTCAGGTTTTGGTTTTCTTGTTGCAATTTCTTAACCTGATATGAATTTTCTGTGTTTGTATCACGTTGATTCAATAACTGCAAATTAAAGTAACAAAATAATACAGTTTAAAATACTTTGAAACAAAATTACAAGAGGTGCAACTTCTGAATTATGTGTAATTATCAGAGGAATTTGTTAATTACAACTGACGATACTACATTAGCAAAATAAATGCATGTACATTTATTTCACTAATATGCTATGTGTCACTAGTACAGTGTCAAGGAATGGTCTATATTCTAGCATATGCTACAAGATGATGCATATATTTTTATGCTAAAGGAATCAATACAGGAAGCAAACATTAAAATAACAAAACATTCATTAAAAATGTAATTTAAAATATTGAAACTATTTATCATAATTGTACAAAGCTTTATTTGTAAATACTACATATAGTAATTTAAGTCTGTCTGTTATACATTTTTTTCTAAATAAAGAATCCAGATAAAATAAATATAATAGATATATTACATATTATATATATATACACACACACACATAACAAAATATTTTCTTACCTTATAATATTTATTTAATTGAGTTTGAAATTCTGATTCCTGTATTTTGTAACTTTCAATTTCATTTTGTAATTGTTCAATTTTTGTTGACATACTTCTATTTTGTTGTTTTAAATCTAATAACTTTTGCCTAAATAATAATAATATATTATTATTAATAAAAATGCAGTAAAAATTCAATTAAAACATAGTAGAATCAATTCTTTTTGCCTCTATGTCCTTACTTTTATTGATTTCTGTTTTTATCTTTGTCTACTTTGGACTTTGTTTATTAATAGGACTTAAATTACACTAGTGTAGTTTCTGTACAACAAATAGAGGAGATCTTAGACACAAAAATCAAAACAAAATATCTATATTTTCACCTGGTGAAAATTAATAAACAAAGTCCAAAGTAGACATGGAGAAAAACAGAAATCAATTGTTGAATCAAGTTTTGATTATAAATTCAAAAACAGTAATTTTTTAATTATTTACAAATTAATTGAATTATTCTTCACAAAAGATTTAAAAACTGAATTTGGTGTTTCAAAATTAGCAAAATATGAAGAAACAATTTTAAAAAAATTATCATTGTAACTATCATCTACTATAAACAGTTTTGGACTCAAAAAAATAAGCATTATCTTTACTTCAAAATTCAAGTCAATTTATTTTTTGGGAATTACCTCACTAAATTTAATAAGTAAGTAAATTTACCTCTACCATTAATTATCGTTTGCAAGTATTGATAATGATAAACAAAAAATTAAAATATTATAAATTAGTAATCTTTGTGAATCAAAATATTATTATGTACTTTTTGTATAAGGACCTTGAATAAGTTCTCACTGTTTTTTTGTGAAAATTAACACTTTATTTAAAAAAAGTCGTAATAAACACGTCACTGAAAGTATTGTCCATCACTAGCCACTACTTTCTCCCATCGTTCTGGCAGCATTTGAATTCCACGTCGGAAAAACGACACGTCTTTTGAGGCTATCCAAGAATCAACCCATTTTTTGGCATCTTCATAAGAATGGAAGTGCTGCTCAGCCAGGCCATGTGCCATTGACTGAAACAAGTGATAATCGGAAGAGGTGATGTCTGATGAATACAGCGGGTGGGGTAGGACTTCCCATTTAAGCGTTTCCAAGTACGTTTTCACCGGTTGTGCAACATGTGGCCGAGCATTGTCATGTTGCAAAATCACTTTGTCGTGTCTCTGCTCATATAGCGGCCGTTTTTCCTTCAATGCTTGGCTCAAACGCATCAATTGTAGTCGATAGCAATCTCCCGTGATAGTTTTATTTGGTTTGAGCAGCTTGTAATAAACTACACCTAGCTGGTCCCACCAAATGCAGAGCAAAAGCTTCGAACCATGGATATTCGGCCTTGCTGACAAAGTTGATGCATGGCCGGGCTTACCCCACGATTTTCTACGCTTAGGGTTATCATAGTGTATCCATTTTTCGTTGCCTGTCACGATACGATGCAGAAAACCTTTCCTTTTCTGCCGTTGAAGCAGCTGTTCACATGTGAAAAGACGCCATTCGAAGTCTCTCGGCTTCAACTCGTACAGCACCCAATGTCCTTGGCTTTTGAATCATTCCTAATCCTTTTAAACGTTTCGAAACTGTTGTGTGATCAACTCCTAATGATTCTGCAAGTTCAGCTAATGTCTGACATGAGTCTTCGTGAAGTAATGCCTCTAATTCCTTGTCTTCAAACTTTTTTGGTGCACCAGATCGTTCTTTATCTTCAACATCAAAATCATTATTTTTGAAGCGTCTAAACCAATCTCTGCATGTTGTTTCCGATAGAGCATGGTCGCCGTAAGTCTCAACAAGAATTCTGTGTGCTTCAGCTGCAGATTTTTTTTGAATAAAATAGTGCAATAAAATTCCCCGCAAATACTCTTTTTTTGGCACGAAACTAGACATGTTTAACACAATGAAATAATAAGTTGTTTACACTTCGGTGAAATGATATATACTGAATTTCAAGGTCGCTTATTGTACTTCCTTACAGATGCATCACCATCTAAAAATAAACACACGTGGTTCTGGTAATGCCATCTGTTGGAAAACAGCGAGAACTTTTTCAAGGTCCTTATATATAGGGTATATACACAATCAAAGCAGAAGCAAACTAATAATTACAAAAAATTACAGTGGAGTATAGGTAATTCGTACTAGACTATTTGTTAGTTTGGATGCCATGCACTTGCAACTCCCTTTGTATGGGCAAATCCAATCTCAGGTTCTATGGAAAATAATGGCAGTTTAAATTAAAAAGTCAAAGAGCATTTTAAGATCAGTACAAAAGATTTTTATCCAGTTAAAATATTCAAAGAGAAAGTGACTGGACAGCATGATAAAGAATAGTGAAATTATATGAGGCTTCTCTGCATGCCCTTATCATGCAGAGAAGACTCACTGTGAATGATTCCATGCCAACTAGACCAGTTGTCCCCATCTGACCATCTCCAATTTTTTCTCAGATTTGGTGTTAGCTGTCTCAACTGCTTAAAGGAAGTTTTGCAAATCTTAGACCTCAATATACAATACCACAACTGTAGGAGCCCCTTAAGTGGAGGTGATCAAAATGTTGCAAAGGCCATTCAAAACTTTTTCCAATTTTGATATGCTGCAGTTCAATAACTACAAAAATTTTTTTTTCTAAAAATTGGCACAGCTCTTCAGTGGCTTGGTTAGTTCAAAATCTGAAAATATTAAGGAACAAGTTCAATTATTCTTCTTATCAGTTGCACTCAAAGTTCGAAATTTTTTTCTAAGTTTTGACAACTGTAATTCCTGAAGAATGATTTTAGAAAGCCCTTCTTTTGTAGAATTGTTGAATAAGTAGTTGTCATTTAAGCTTTTGAGATTATCCTGTTTTGGAGATATTCCATGATCAATTTTGCTTTAAAAAAATTGTACCATTTTTGAATCTTATTTTCTGAGAGGTCCCTCACCATTTGAAAGAGCTCATTTCTATTGAATGCTTATCATCCTATAAATATTTACTTTTTGATAAGCCAAACTGGCTTATCAAAAAACTCTATTTGTAGAAACTATCTTTTTGTTTCAGAAATAACTTTTATTGTAATATATTTTAGTTTGAACTTTATTAAATTTTAACTGTATTTATCCATTAAATTCTATGATTAAGTTTTCCAGTGATATTTTAAAATTTATTTATAAAAATATTTTGCTAAAAGATGTTTGTCTGGATTCAACATTTCCACGAATTCCTATGATTGTTCATGTTTTGTATAATTTAACACCTTACATTTTATTATTACTTTGCATTTCACATTTGAAAATTTTTAAAAAATTAAATTTACCGATTCCTGTCGACAGTCTGTTCTAAAGTTATTTTCTGTTGTTCATATTCTGTCATATTATGCTGTAAATGAAGAAGTTGATCTTGAAGAGAGTGCTTTGTACTTTGGCTCTTATTCAAAGAAGAATTTAGATCAGTTATCTGCAATAATAATAAAACAATACATTAAAGAATGTCAAATTTTTCAAAATTATGAAACATCAAATTTCAGATTAAGTAAAACTTAATCAAAAAATTGAGAACAGTTTTAAAATATTTATTGTTATCACATGAAAATGCAGAATGTCCCATGTAAAACCAGGCTATCTTAAATAATAAAGCATTGATTATGCAAGTTTCCATAATTTTTTGTGAATAAAACTATATTTTCAATGAGTTTCTCATCTCATTTCTCTCTTTTTTTCTAATATTAGGATTACAATTATTTACTCAATGGGGCCAGATTTATATGGAACACCTTGTAAATATTACTTTAATTAATATCATATACTATTTAGGTTTGCAGGATTCTACTGTATATAAAATTTAAGTTATTGAAAATGACAAGCATCATTGATTATTGCTGTGCCATAAAACTCATAATACTTTTACAAAAATTCTATTATTTAGATATGTGCAAATTCATGTACATGTTAATTTCATACCAATAGTGATTATTTTTATTTGTATTTAAATTTTAATTTAAAAAAATATTGCCTATTCAGTGGCTACTTTTGAGTTAGTATCAGTGGCTACATGTTAACAAAGAATATATCCATTTTTCTAAGGTGCCACTGTAAAATTGACATTTTACAGTGGCACCTTAGAAAAATGGATATATATGATGGAAATATCACTATTATCAAGTGTTGCAATGAAAAATGATAACACTAGGACCAAATAAGTTAAGTTACATATTCTCTAACTTTTACCTCTATATTATTTTTAATAACATGACAAGTTATTGAGAGTTGAGTTTTGGAGACTATATTCACATAATTTTATACGTAAAATTTACATACACAATGAAAATTTTAAAATATCGAAATCCAATATGATATCCAAAAGTGCAGACTATGTTTGATCACATAAAAACAAGGTTCAGGAAAAATTAAAGCAGTCCTGTTGAAATTTGTGATATAAAAAATAATATTACAGCCATATCCATAAAAAATGGAATTGTGTCTTGGCTATTCCATTACTTCAATTAGATAATTAATGTCTAATTGGGAAAATCAGCCAAACCATGGAATCTTTTGTTTGAAACTACTATTAAGTTTCCACTTTTAAATCACTTCAGTCACTTGTTACATTGCTGCCTACTTACAATGTTAGGTGCTTTTAGTAAGGATGAAGCAGTTTCAGTTACCAAACCACTTTTGAAAAGTGGGTTTTGATTTTCACAAGAAATTGTGACAAGAAATAAGAAATTACACTATTTAATGAGTAAAATGGGAAATTTGTAAATTAATAAACTAGATTTTAAAAAGTTTTATCATCATTTCATATTTTTTCATACATTTATTATTTCAATGTTAAATTGTCATAAAAATATGGTTTTCTTTTTAAAAAATTATAAGATAATGAAAAAGTTGGTGTCTTTCTTAAACTTTTTAAAATAATTTTTCAGAAAAAAAAAAAACTGTATGACTTGTCATAATAAAGAAAAGAATCAAGTAATCAACTGTTAGGATTTGGATCAACTTGCCTAGCATATGGAAATAAATCCTGAATAACAAACATATCTATTTCTTGAAGAATTGTCTCATAGTTTTAAAGATTATCTTTACATTTTTGAAGATGACTCTGCTCCATATCAAAGAGCTAAAAAGGTAAATATCACTAAATTTTTCCTAAACACAGTTCTGTTTTGTTATATCTCTTCATAAAATTGAATTTTATAGCAGTCTTTTAGGATGCTCACATGATCAGGGAACAGTCCAGACCTGAACCCTACTGAAAACTGATGGAACAAAATTGGCATATCTGTTGCAGATAAGAAGTGTCACACTCACAAATGTCTGGTACCACAACTTTTCACTAGACTACAACAGAAATTTCATTTTGTCCATGCATCAGTGTTGTCATCAAAGCAAAAGACTGACAAAATATCAGTCATAACATTGTACAATTCTTTTATTGTTAATAAATAACAACACAATTAAGGATACCAACAATATAGATAATAATAGCTTATAGTTAATATTTCAACCTAGACAAGAAGTGTATTATAGTATCCTTAATTGTAATTATTTGCAACATTTTCTTCATTGTCATTTTTGAGAAGTAAATTTCTTCCAAAAACTTGTATTGCTGAATTTGATTTTTTTGTAGTTTTTACTTCTTTAATTAATTACAGTAATACCCCGACTTACGCGAACCCGGAGTTACGCAATTTTCAAATCTCCTCGATTCGTCTTTTGTTTGACCGCCACGCAACTCGTGATTACTAACTCCTCCCACACTATTGTTTAGCTTACATGTTTGGACGTGTCGTGCAGAATTGACACATAGCTACAATATATTTTGTGTTATTTATTTCTGTGTTTGTTATATCTACAGAGACTTGACAGACTCTATGTGGTGATTTCTTGTAAACGTGAACGGATCAAAAGACGAGATGAGATTAACGAGAACATTTATTAGTTTACATACATCTGACTTGGATTTTACACGAATTGCGAAATTATACCCCGACTTACGTGAATTCGAGTTACGCGGTTATCGTTCGGTCCCACCTATTGTGTAAGTTCGGGGTATCACTGTATTTCACTAAATGAACATTAATAGTCCTATTTATAATTGTATTCACTTTCTTTTTAAGTAACTTTTATAACATACAAAATTATTATTATACTACTATAATAATAATTTTCAGTGGATAAAGGTTAACCCTTTAAAATCAACATCCCGAAAAACCTCGGGCAAGTTCCATAGAGTTTCATAAAACTCGGTACTTTCGGCCCTTTCCCAAAATTTTTTTTTTTTTTTGAATTTTTAAAATGTTTTTTAGGTCCCCAAATTTTTTCAGAATTTTTTGTCCGCGCGAAAAAATTTTATCGCGATTTTAATGAGCCTTTGTTAAGGCTCAATTGTTTTTCAATGGGAGTTTTTTATCAAATTTATTTCATGGTTCCTAAGTTGTAGCGCACGGATTTTTTTTCGGTAAAGTTATTAAAAGCTGCTTTTTGATGTCAAAAACGACCTCCGATAGTTTTTTAATTTTTTTAATTAATATATTTTATTTTATATTAATTTAATTAATTAGGGGGGTCGGAAATCGCAATTAAAATTTCAATTTTTTAAAAACATTTAAAAATATACGATTAATTCACCTTCACCCTACTTTAAACCCTTGTCCTCCCGAGACGTTTATGAGAATGCCCCGGGAAATCCGACTCCAGCTGTGTTCAAGGTCACCCAGCTGTGTAAACAATAACTCATCGGTGTTATATTTCACAGAAAGACGAGACAAAGGAAAATAAAGTTTGAAGCTTTTTCTTCAAAATTAACGCATTTTTTTCGTTTTTTTTCAGTTTAAAGTATTTTTTATGTTTAATTAAACATTAGCATTAAAAATTACGGTGTACGCTCCAGCGTATTTTTACGCCGGTGGTAAAGAAAGGGTTAATAAAACTGCATCACTTTCATATTTTAAACACCATTGTAGTTAGAATTACATTAATATATTTTTAAAAATTAAAAAATTATACCTTTGCTTTTAATTCTTTTTCATTTTCTGATGACTTTTGTAATGCTAAATTTAATTTCTCTATGGTAAGTTGTAATGATGCATTTTTCTCTTGAAGATTTTGCAATTTTTCAATTAAACCATTAACTTGCTGATGAAGAGCCTGTTTAAATTTTGCTAATTACCATTTATATGAGTAAAAAATCAATAATATAATAGAATTATAGTAATGAAATGAGTGACAACAAACTTGATCACTATCAAACTAAATAAACACCACAAATTCCAGCACAATCTATTTTTATTTCAGGCAAATGTTTTTGGCTGTATTGAGCAGCCTTCTTCAGGCTTTTAAAATGTTCCTATTCTACTTTTGGTTTGGAACTTTGATGTTTTTACATCTGTATACCATCAAGTCAGTCAAAATTTCAAATTGATAGAACAACTATACTATTAGTTGCTTTAAAACATCCACTGAATAACTTGTGCCAATTTTACGACATTGCACAACTTTATCATATTGTGATAGAATTGAGGCAGAGCCAAAAAGAAAGAAGCTATCCTTGCACTTGTTAGGTACAAAAAAGATGATCCTTGTATCTGACAGTCATGGACAGGTGAATCTTGCATTTACCTCTACAAAAGAGTCTATCCTTATACCTATATACATGGCTAGAGCATTTGGTACCAGGTGCAAACTTAAGTATGGCACCTTTTGGATAAGCCTTTCATTAGTTTGTTACAAATTTAAAAATTATAAAATCACTTATTATAAATTAATATAATCCATATTATATTTCATAATATAATTTTTCATACTTGTGTGTGGCAGTTTTCTATGAATTCATTAGTTTGCCCATGAAACAATTTTGGATTTTTGGCATCCTGGGCAGTTATCCCATCTGCCCCTGCCTTTCTACAACCCTGCTTGTACCTACTGGCCGATACAGGGAGGTGATCTAAGAACAAAACAATTATCATTAATTGCTTTCTTCTTGTATTTTGTTCATTTTTCTCCTTCAAATTCCATTAGGCATACTCAATTGCATTAGGGAGCACAGACATTGCCACTGACTCCATTGTGTATCGAAAATGAAGTCTTGGACCCCTATTTTTTACATTTAAATGGACCCTCATTACACTTTTGGATTCCTCATAGCAATTAATGGAAAACGGAAAAGTTTTATCAAAATCAATCAATCAAATTTTGAAATTGAATGCAATACTGTAAGCCACACAGAAGAGGCTTTATTAACACTGCCTCAAAAATATAAGCTCCTAATCAGCTGTAGTCTAGGCTCCATTAAATTAATATGCATTCAAGCAACAAATAGATTAACCATCAACCAAATAAAAAAAATAAAACCTGAAAATAAACTGGGATTCCACAAACCAAAGTTACATTAAAGATACAAATAGAAGCTGTCAAACCTATCAATCCAATATATTAAGGAATTCCATAACAGGATCTCCAAGTCCTAATTTTTGGTTGCCATTCTTAGCAGGCTTATAGATTTCCAATTTTTCCAAATGTTTAAAGTTGGATATATCACAATTAAAAAGTTGGATTTTATGATGTTTGTTTTAAAGTATAACCATTTTCATTTGAATATTAACTACACGATCATTGTCTGTTGTCACTTATTTTATTATGCATTACATAGTTCTTCACTTTTCTATTTTAGATGCTCATACAATTTTAAAGCATTATGTATATTTTACACAAAATTTTGTTAATGTTTTTTAGATAATTGTACAAGGAGTGTCCAGAAAGTAAAGAACATTTGGCTGTAAAAAGTAAAAAAATAGTAATGACAGAAAAAATGTCTTATTAAGTCATTAGTACAAGGCCAGTTACTTTTCTACATAGTCACCATTATGATTAAAACACTTGTCATAGTATTTCTTTGGTTGCACATTACCTTCCTTGATTAAACATTAAACACCATTATGAATGAAGCAAGTCTGAGAAAATGTGATCACCATACACTTTCATGATTTGTTTATGAATTTCTATAGGGCAAACTTTGCATTTAGAAAACAAATAACACTTCACACTTGATGGCATTTTTGATTTTTGTACACATTTTAACCCTTGACAAAATAATAACAATATGCCTGCTGTTATCGAAACTCTACAGGTGCTAAGCTAACACAGAGAAAAAATTGACCTTGATATGATGGTGGTAATTTATCTGCACAGAGTGCTATGCACAAACATGCTTTATTTTCTGCATGCCCCTCGTACTTTCATTAAAATCTTAAATAAAAAAAAAAAATCAAAAACTGCAGAGTAATATACAGACATTATAAAAAAAATTGACTATGAAACTTAAAAGGTTACTTTTTTTACCTACATAATAATATATGATGGAATACAGAATAAGAAAACATAAAACTTACTTAATATTAAAGCAGTATAGTCAATAAAACAATATATCATAATTATGAAATCATTAATATGTAATTAAATCAAATTTTTTAAATTTGTATTTGTAAATGTAATTACCAAATTTCCTAAAATATGATATCACAGTATCAAAAGTAAAAAAAACAATTATCAGTTTGGCTCTGTATTTTACTATATATGAAATATAAAGTTTTTCATTTAAAATCTACAATTACACATTATAATATGACAGCAAATCTATGAGATAAATATTAACATATATGAATTTCAGAGATAATTAGTTTTGAGTTACTGTTAAGCATATTCTTAGTATCAGAAATGCTAATAGAAAAAAAATATTAAGGTTTAAAAAGAGATTAGTCATGCCAAATTTAGAGTTTAAAACAACAATTATTCATTATTAAAAAATCAATTTTATGATTTGGATGAAAAATATATGAATAAATACATGAATTCTATCAAATTTTTAACTTTTATATAATAATAACAATATTTACTGCATTTTCAATTTCTTTATCTTTCAAATTCTTCTCTTGTTTTTGCTTTTGATTTTCTAATAATTGCAAACTGAGTTCTAACTGATTGGTTTTACTCTCAGCAAGTTCTTTTGCTTCTGTTTCCATTTGCTTTTCTTGATTACATTTTTTCAGGGATTGTTTTAAATGAGAAACTTTTTCCTGTTTGATTAAAATAAAAATATTATTTTTATTTTAAAGATTGATGTATATTTTAAAATTTATACCTGTAACTGTATTTTTTCATTATGAAGACGTTCAATATTATGCTCAATTGAAAAGATTTTTTCTGTTAAGTTTTTCTGTTCTCTTAATAGTTTTTGAATTGTTTCTTCATTTTGTTGAATAGTACTCTGGGCAGATAAAAACTGATTTTCTGCGTGTTTTTTTTCTGCAATAAAATATTTACATTAATAAATATACAAATAGTTTTATCAGATAATATTTTATAAATTTAAATTATAAATAAATTAACTATTAATATCTTCTAAATGTAATAAATATAAGTATTACCATTTTCTAATTCATTTACTATTTTTTGATATTGCTGTAATTGACATAATGTGCTATTATACTCTGATTTCACTTCATCTAATTGATGTTGTTGATGAGAAGTCTGAGATCTCCAGTTTTCCTGAAAAATAATTTATTTATATAAAAATAAAAACTTCTTTCTAATTTACATTAATAAATGGAATCGTTTAAATCAATGATGATAAAAAATTATCTGTAATTCATTATTATTAATATTTGAATTATTTGAGTTCTCACTTTTTCTTTTTCTGAATCTTGCAATTTTTGTAAAATATCCTGTAAAGCACATTTTATTAATTCATTATCATTATCTGCAGAACTCCAAGTATTATGCAGAGGAGAGAATAATTTTGAAATATGTTCTTTAGATGAAGTAAGTTGCTTTTGTGAAATTTCATCTTTTTCAGGAGAAGTATGTCGAGGACTTCCAGATAAATGAGAAAATATAAAACTTCCTTCCAAACCAAGACCAAGAGTTGAACGTATTACTGAATATAAATTATTCAGCTTAATTTCTGTGTCTTTTTTTGATCCTTCTAACTTTCTTAATTGTGTATCTTGAGCAATTATTTTTCCTTCTGTCATATTTAATTTTAAACGTAATTGTGCTAATTCATTTCCAGCTTCTGTTACTAATTTTTCTAAACTAGATTTTTGTCCTTTTAAGGTATATTCCATATTAAGACTTGACTGCAATGATGCTTTATGATTTTCTTGCTGAATTTTTAATGAATGTTGACAGTCTCTCAGTTTTTGCTGCACATTTGATAATTCTTTATTTAAAGCCTCACGACTTGCCTCCGATTCCATTATCTAAATAAAGTAAAAAACAAAAATTATATTTTTTAATATTTTTTATTTGTTATGAAAAACACTTGCCTTTTTTTTCAAACTTATAATTTCTTGTTGTTGATCGATAGTCTGTTGTTCATCTGTTTTTTGTTGAAGTTTTATTTCTTCTAATTCATCATATCTTTCCTTTAATGAGATTTCAAGATTCATAACTTCATGTTGTAAAGATTGTATTTGTCTTTCATACTCCATCTTCAACTTTTCTGTATTATGCACTGTATTTTGCAATACTTCATACTCTCTACTTATTGATAATTTACTTTCTTCCAAAACTAAAATTAATTAAAATAGAAACATTTGCTGTTTTCTAAAATTATTAAAATATTTCAACATTATTAAGTATATTTATTTATAAATTTTGGATTTGGGGCTTCTAATTTCAATAGAAAATTTATTTTAAATACAATACATTTATCTGAAATCAATAACTTTAAAAATATTAATTTATGGACTTTATTATACAGTATGTTCAAAAGTGAAAGAAAAAAAACATACTTTCACATTTCTGTTTCAATTCTTCTGACATACGAATATATTGAACCTTCTGTAATTCTATATTTTTTAATTTATTTCTTAATTCTTCAGTATTGTTTTTCAATGTTTCTTTCTCAGCTTTTTCAAAATTAATACTTTTTCTTAAATCAGTAACTTCTCTATATATCCTGTCCTTCTGTATTCCCACTGTTAAAAATATTTATGAAAAAAAACAATTATTTTATAATATGTATATTTAATCAAATTTCTATTAATTTGAATAAAAATAATTTTCAATTAATTGATCAGCATATTCTCATTACATTGTAATTGATTTTATTTTAAAATATACAGTGGGTGATCGGTTAACTAACATAATCCGTTCCAAGACTTTGTTTGCTATCCGAATTGTTCGTTAACCGATTATGAATTTACCATAGGTTTGTATGGGAATTTGATTAATTCGTTCTGGAGACATCCCAAAATAAAAAATATATACTTTCTTACTACGTTTATTTATATGTATACACAGATGTGCATTTTTATTAGTTATGGTTTTTTGTTTGTGGGGGTTAAATAATCTGTCTAATGTCGATTGCTTTTCTCTCTTCTTCGGGATTTTTCAGAAGTAATTAATAGCATTGTAATTGTAGAGATCCCCAAGCCTATTAACCTCAACCTGGTTTGTATGCCATTCTAAGACCGTTGATCTGACATCCCCCATTTCTTCAAAAGATCTTTAATTAATAGCAGATATCGGCATTAATCCTCTTTTTCAGAATAAAACATATCTTGCCGAGTTTCTTGGTGTTCTCTATTCAAGAGTTCTTGACGTTCTTCTGTCGTCAGATCCGTTTCAGGTTCCATTATGAGCTCTTCATTGTTCTTTATTTCTCAGATGTGATTTTTGTTACTCCTTTAGCTGCTTGAGTCTTCTTGATAATACAGTATCTTTCTTAGATAAGATTGAACTGCGGCCTACTGTAGACCTGTTCAAGCCATACTGCCCAGCAACAACAGACATCAGACATCTGCCCACCTTTGCTATTATACTCTCACCTTTCGAAAATAAAAACAGACACAAAACTTAATGAGTGCCCGCCCGGCAGTCTCACGAATACTATAAAAGAATTGTTTGTCAGAAAAATAAAAGGTTGGAATTACAAGGGAGTATTTCAAAGTTTGAGGATACTATATAATCAGTATATTATCAGGTTGAGCGTCGACGTTGAGGTCTCCCACGCTCCAAAAAGTTACCTGAAAACAAAGGAAAATCAGTCGGTATTTGCTATTTTCGTCGCTTCTTTTTATGTCTGTTCAGTGAAGTGTTTGTTATCCGATCATGTGTTCGTTGTCCAATCATAAAAATCTTTCGCGAAAGTGTTCGTTATCCGATTTGTTCGTTAACCGATCACCCACTGTATATAATAATGATTTAATCCAACTACAGTAAATTTTACATAATTTTTACTTCCCTGGTTGTTATATATAATAGAGGGAAAGTATGGCAATCAGTCAAAATATGAACCCCCCAAGATTTTTACATTTTTGGATTCAGGATATCTTAAAACATCGAGAAATGCAAAAAATTCAGGGGTTTCTTTTTGTATATATGGATGTTAGTGTGGGGGGCACAATTTTGTTCACCCTCTTTGACGCTTAATAACTCCTGTGCTTTTTGTCGAAAATTTCTGAAATTTTTCGGGGGGGGGGTTGTTTATTAGCAAGATTGATGCTATTAAATTTTAGTGATTAAAGGTTGACTGGGTGAGAAGATAAAGGGGGTTGTGTGTTTCTCCAGTAAGGTCAGACTTAATAACAATTTTACTCATTAGCATTTGCAATTTTTTATAAAACCCATCCCTACCCTCAAAATTATGCATTTTGCTATTTTGTAATAGTTAAAAACCAAATGTGCCAAGAAAGTTAAGCAAATCATTGCTGATTTTTATAAAACTGCATTTCAGATTAACAGAATATTATATAATAATATGATTTTTGTTTGTCCGATATTTTCAGTGTTTTAAAAAATGTCATTTTGATTTCATAACATGGTCTTTATTTTACATGATTAAAGACCAGTTGCACAAGTTTTAATCTACAGAATTACTTTTGATGCATTGCATAAAAGTAAATCTTTGGAATAAACTGCTGGCTAAGTTAACTGGCCAATTTTCGGTGTTTTAACCACCCAAAATTGGTCAGTTTATTTTATCTAATCAGCAAAAAATAAGATGAATGACATCAATTCTTATTCCATTGTGGATGATCTTTATTTAGACTATTCACAGAAAATTTATCTATTCCTGATAGAACATCCAAAAGAAAAAAACAGGTCATAAAATGTTATTTAGCATTTAAAAATTTCAAGTATTATAGCAATGGCAAGTAGCAAAATTTACTGTCAGAAAATAAATGAATCATATTTCACATAACATAATAATTTATTATTTCTCATCATGAAATAGAATATTCAAATATTGTAGATGGTTTCAGCCAAATCTATAAGTGTTTTTCTTTGGTACTCTAATTTGCCCTATGCGTTTTCTTACTAACTCTTTGTTCTTCCATCTTAATAATATAACTGTTCTATAACAATTTTTAGCTATCTACCAATCAATATCTACCAATCAAAGTATCTTGTGCAATAAGCATAGCTTATTCTTTAGACTTATGACAAGGTTAAATTTATTTTATAGTTACTCTGTAGTTTAAAATGCAACTCATTCAATTAGCCCTGAAATACAGATTATTACAAAATTATATATTACTTTATAATATTTTCTAAATAAAATATGTTTATATGCTATTATGAAGTTAATTTTTTTTTAATTTAAAATTTTTGTATATGAAAACACTGCATTGAACAAAAGAAACGCAATGGGCCGATTGCTAAGATAACATTTAGATGCCAACAGCAGTTTACAGATCGTGTACACCATGGTTCAGAAAAATTTCATTGCAGAGACGGCATTTCTCACTTGCCATAGTTTAGACAGCAATTAGAAACTGGTAATTTGACCTACTTTCCAGACTCACGCGACAGCAGGTTTAGAGGGTTTTTTATTTGAGTGGTAGTTTTGTTCGTGGAAAGTTTAGATAAAAATGGATATCGTTACTTTGATAAATGTTGTAAATGGTACAAATCGACAAAATTATTCATTAATTAATTGCTTGGAGTAAAAATAACAAACTTAAATACTTTAAATTTGTTTTAAATGTTCCAATTCTGATATTCAAATGGGTGAAGACTTAAAACTATAATTAATTTAAATCAGATGCATTTATTTACAATTAGAGTATCATGTCGGTTATAAAACGTTAATGCATTGTTGTTAATCCCTAGTCAGAACATTCTGTTAAACAAACAAGACAATTTTAATAATTACCAAAATCTTTTTATAGAAAATAAAAGAATGTAATAGTAATAATAAAATATTTAAAATTATTCATTTTGACAGTAATACAATGTCAAAATAATTCCTTGAAATTCCTCTTCAGAATAGATTTTTAAATTTCCCAAATATGGATTTGTTCATATTTTAAACCATGTTGGCGATGAAATTAAATATCAAAGTGGAAAAGGATTGTCATTAACTGCCAAACAATGATTGTTGACAGCCTTAAGATTTTATGTTCCGGAAGCTTTCAGAATATAACTGGTAACCTTTTCTGACATCACAAATGAATAACCTGATTGGCCGAGCGACTCCTAAAATGGGAGTAATGGCAAAGAAAAGCCAATGTTTTGCCAAAGTTTGTTTTAGAAGGTGTTCAGAAATAGACAATCATCGTCTTTGCAATGCATTTTAATTAAACCGTGGTTCAGCCAGCCAACATCTAGAGACCATTCTGCTGTTAAACATTGTTTAACATAAACTCTGTCTCTGCAATTGACTGAATATTTTATTATTTGAATTTTTCAAATTTCTCTAATAAAAAAAAAAATTTATCTAAAAAGCAATACAATAACTTTATCAGTTCAATTTCATCTATCTTTACTATTAATGTGTATTATCAGTCATTGTGAATAATTTATAAAGCAAAGACTAATTTTGTCAATTTTAAAATTAGAAAAATTAATACTGGGGAAATTAAAATTAAAACTGACTAAGATGGAAAATAAATTAGAATGAAGTTTTATCCAATTACTAGCAGGTAGGCCCGGCATTGCTCGGGCAAAAGTAACGATAGCAAAGATTAAGATTATTATGTTACAGTCAACCTTACTTATTTTTACAGAATGCAAGAATTGGGAATATAACTTAAGGCTTAACACTTCCATTGTTGATGGAAGTGTTAAGCCTTAATCCTGTCCTTCTCCCGTGGGGAGGAATTTCGAAAAATCCCTTCTTAGTGTGCATTCTCCTGACGTACCCTAACTGTGTACCAAATTTCAACTTTTAACTCCTAACCGTTTGGGCTCTGCGCTTATTATTATTATTATTATCAACCCATCTCGATTATATATATAAATATGTAAAAATTTATGAGGATTAAATCTGAACTTAGATCTGTTATGTGAGATCAGTCTTTGCAATTTCATTGATATTCAAGAAACATCAAGAAATTTGAATCAGATAACTTGGTTTGTTTGTCCATAAAAGCCATTTAAAGTGTTTAAGAATCAAACCAAATGAAAATTGTTTAGAAATATTAACTAACTATGTCACAAGAGATGAAGACTATAAACTGCAAAATCATATATATGTCTAATTGTTACATATATTTAAAACGATTAATTTTTGTCTAGTAACAGAAATTAAACACTCCTGGCTGAAATTCAAACAATAAAAATATAACTTTAGAAAAAGAGAAAGAGCAGATGTGAGAACTTCCCAGACAAGAGACTTTTGGGTAAGCATTTGAGAATCCAACCAAATAGTGAAGTGAATTGACTGTCCATAAAAGCAGGTTTGAAGGAGGTACCAATGGAAGACCTTTGAGAAAAAAAAAAGAAAGAAAGAAAGAAGTTTTCTTGCAGTCTCAAGAAAGTCCTCTTACTACTCCATCCAAACTGATCCTGAGAATTTAAATTCAAGCAACCAACTAAGATAAAAATTTCTGTCCTCATTAATTAAGTTAAATCCTCTTACCCCTCCTAAATCATTTCTCAATGGGGGAAAAAATAATAATAATAATGTCATCTAGTTTGAATCATTTTGGAGAGAAGTGAATGGATGTTGTTATTCACTTTCAGAATGCAATAATAATCCAACTATGCTGAATCAGAATATGGAACAGATCTTTGGGTTCAGCTTCTAACATTAACAGTTCTTCGAGTGTTTATGTTAGGAGTTATCTCAATTCATAGGCACATAAATGTCTCTGCAACTGTAAATTGTATTTATGTGTCAAGAATTACATTGTCTGTAAACTCTATGTATTTGTATCAGTTTACATTTTAATGAAATTTTGCTTGTGAAAAAAAGGAAAGTTGATCTGTCTTCTAATGTTCATGCTCCTTCCCATGAAAAAAGATAAAACTCCCACTTATATCAATAAAAATCAACCAATGTTATTTTGATGCAATCAATGGGCTATTTCAAATTAATATACTGTATAGACACCATATTTAAGTGTGACTATCCATTTCACACAATGATGATATTTTGAAAATTATATAATGAATATGACATAAAATTGAACATTTAAGAATGTATGTTTGTATATCCATACAGTATGTATGTTTGTATATCCAGATCTGGTGTTCTAGAGTTAAACTTCTGATAAGTTTACTATTTAGAATTATTTAAATTTGAACATTTTCTTTCAAAAAATTAAATTACATTTTCTTGAAGGAGTAATCACAAAATACTTAATCATAAAACTATATGAATCTACTAAGTTGAAGAATAAGCAATTAAAATTTGTTGGTTCTGAATATAATCAATTCTAATTTTTTAATAAATAACATTAAACTTTTCTTTTATTTTGAATAAGAATTTAATTTAAAATAAATATCAACAAAGAATCAATGAAAAGAATTATTTAGATCAAATGATAATGCCAAATTAACTATAAGGCTAAAATTTGACTAATTAATTTCATAGATAATATGTAATGGTGATTAAGCTGCCATCTTGTATTAAATTTAATAATTATATTAATTTTAAATAAAATGAAATTATTTAGACTGTTTTTGAAGAAAAGATCAACCAGCAGTAGGACTATATTTTTCAGAATAGTCTAAATTATTCCTTTTAATTCAAAATTAATATAATTATTAAATTTAATCCAAGATGACACCATATTTAACTTAACTGCCTACCTTTAATTCAAATTATGTAGGATCTATAAAATTAATTAGTCAAGTTCTAGCCCAATATTTAATCTGGCATTAGTGTTTGATCTTTAAATAATTTGGGCTGTATATATTTATAAAGGATAAAATTTGATATCTCAAAATTTCTTACCTTCTTTAAGTGTTTGATATACTTCATTCAATTCTTGGGATAACATGTTTTTTGTTTCATCTAAAGCCTTTAATTGGATTTTTAATTTAGTAACATTATCAAAGGCTGTATCTCTCTGATTCTGAACATCTGCTAATTGAATTTCCAAATCTCTCATCTTTTTACTCAACATATCCCTGAAATATTAAAAAATAAATAATAAATTATTCCATAAAAAGTCAAGTATTTAACACTAACAAGTATTTATAATTTATTATAAAATTAAATAATTATAGTAAAATCTGCTTAGTACACATTTAAAGATCTTTTAAAATACAACATACCTTTCATAAAAAATTATATCAACAAGTTGAATTTGTATAAAATTTTGAAGTTTATAACTTGATAGAATGAAAATTCTTTTTTGTATATTGTATCTTGTTCACTTTATTCAAGATAAATTAGCTCTAGAATTGTAGTACACTATAATATAATCAAAAAGAATCAGGTGAAAGTTAAATATATAATAAATATTTTTTCTTAAATAGGAAAATTTATATATTGATTGTTTAGAGCAGCCAAGTCAAATTTTCAGCTCAGCCAGCATTTGTGTGACCCACTTCAGTTTTTGTTTTGTTAATAATACTGCATCCCAAAAAATGGTTTCAATATAAGTAATTATTTTACTTAAAATATGTTATGATGCAGTTCATATTAAAGTATTAAGCAGTTTTATAGCAGTATTAAGCAATTATAACAATTTTTGTGGATTTTGAAACTCTGAAAAACAAAAGAGAAGTAGGCTTAAATCAAAATGCATATTTTTGTAGGAGTATACAGGTGTCACTCGTTTAATGTGGTGAACTATAATTAAATTTCTGCATTAAATGGGAAAATGCTATTTTTGTGCTACCTGCTTAATTTTTTAAACTAATATTTGTTCCACAGAATAATGATTTCCTTCTTCAAAAAGAAAAAAAAATTGACTCTTATTTAAAACATTCATTAATTTAGAACAGATACTATATGTCTTTTTTTTTAACATTAATTTGTCTATTTCTTCTTTATTTGTAAAATTTGTTTACAGGAGTTCATTAAATTGTCACAACTTCTTTTTATTGTAACAAATCTCAAAAAAAAAAAAAATATTTGTCACATGCTTCTAAAATGTTCACACATTTGTTATAAAATGGAAAAGCTTCTAAAACTCTAATATTCAGGGTATGTTCGTAAAGTTGAACAAGTTAAACATGTTAGTAATGAATTGATCAAAACTCTAATGAAATTCATTAAGGAAATAGTTAGTTCACTTCATTAGGAAAATGGCACCCAATGATATCAATGTTTCTAAATCTACTCGAGTGTTTAAATTGCTAATTAAAAGGTGAAATGATAATAACTGTCCACCCGAAGCAATCTAAGAAAAATATTTCGAATAAGGCTGCACTAGCAATATTCATATCTTTGATTTTAGAAACAGCCATTTAGTTATAAATGAATTAGTCGAAAAGTCTAACAAAATAAGAATAATGATGACATCATTCTCATTTAACTCGTTCAACTTTATGAACGTACTCTCAGTAACCTTCGTGGTTATTATTTTTCTTATTCTTGAAGAAAAGCATTTCATTCCATATCTTGAAGTTTTTCTTTTTGAGAAAGTTCTATCATGATCCTGTTGTCCTGAGAAAGTGATAACTTACTAAAAACAAATTTTTAGCTTCTAGAAAAATATGCTAAACCAGTGGTTCCCAATTAGTTTTTCCTGCGTACCACTTCAAGAAAGAGCTCAAACTCGTGTACCCCTTATAGCAGAAATTCATATTAATTCATACTAATATTATAAATTCGAAGGTAATTCTGTCTGTCTGTTACCTTTTCACGTCTAAACCGCTGAACAGTTTTAAATAAAATTGGGCACAGAGATAGCTTACATGTTGGAGATGGAAATAGTCTACATTTTTACTGCGAGAAAATATCTTATTCTCACGAGAAAATTCGATATAATGCGGGAGAAGCTGTGGTTAGACAGCTAGTGATAAATAGAATAAGTTTTTTTACATTTATTACCTTTAAAATACAATTCTAATAATAATGAAAATAACATAAGGTTATTTGATTTTAATGCGACAAATGTGCACAATTTTCTTTGCACAACTTTGTAAAATCTGGTTGCTTTTTGGTCAGCTTCAGTCTCAAGTCATCTTCGAGTCAAAGTCGGTGACGATGTTTAGTTTTCATGTTTGTCATGGCCGAAAATCCTCTCTCGCAGAGGTATGTTGTGCAAAATGGTAGCAAATATTTTTTAGTTATAAATAAATGAATTTGTGCATTCGACATCATGTTATAAATTTCCAAATTTTTGACGGTCCACCCATTATTTTTTTTATTTGCTTCATCTCATGCATTTAAATTTTAAATCGGCCGATTTTAAATTGCCGTGCGTACCCCTTCATGCAATTTCGCGTACCCCTGGGGGTACGTGTACCACTAATTGGGAACCACTGTGCTAAACTTATTAATTCCATTTGAAAATGTTGATTACTGTATTAAGTGATTAAACATATAAATTCTATTCAGCAATCAACCACATCATAGTAAATCTGTATTAAACAAGGATGAATTAAATGAGAGATACCTGTACTTGTATTTTGAGTGAGAATCCAATAAAAATACACAAACAAAACATGCATCTGAGAATTCCTTATGTAAAAATCTAAGGAAATTTAACATGTAAAATAAGTAATGATGATAATTTGTTTTATAACAAGTAAAAAATTATTACATTAGGCTAATTATTTTTCTTTCACCAGCAATTATTATTAGTTGAAGAAAACTAATTAATATAATAACGGATTTTATTTTATACAGTATCTCAATTTTCCTGAAAAATACATGGACATCATGTATTTTTCAGGAAAATTGAGATACTGTATAAAATAAAATCCGTTATTATATTAATTAGTTTTCTTCAACTAATAATAATTGCTGGTGAAAGAAAAATAATTAGCCTAATGTAATAATTTTTTACTTGTTATAAAACAAATTATCATCATTACTTATTTTATTTGCAAAATAGATTAAGAGACTAAAAATAGATACAAGAGCACTATGACAATGTTCTTGTTCAACGCTTTATGCAGTTACAATCAAATTGAGATATGAAGACATACATGCCCATACAAGGTATAGATACAAACATTGTATTAGACTACATTTGCTTCTGCTATGCAATTTCTAAATGCAATTGCACTAGAGTATAGGTAATCAGTAGTTAGATATTTATTGATTTGGACACCATGCATGCCTATCTCAAGTCCTATGATAGATAATAGTGTAATTTACAGTACAAAATCAGTGTGTCTCAAGATCAGTACAAAATGTTTTTCTCAGTTCAGTTTAAAATTCTTAGAAAGAAAATGGCTGCATGTTGTCAAAAACTGAATGGTAAAATTATGAGAGAATTTTCTGTATAAAATGAGTAGTGAAATTGCATAATATGTATTAAGCAGATTCAATTATAATTACATTTTTCAGTTAATTATAAAAAAATATAAATAAAAATGATCTTACATCTCATATCCTAACTCATTTTTCACTTTACTAAGATTCAGATTACAATCTTCTATTGTCAATTGTTGCTCTTCAAATATAGATTCCGTTTCTTTTTTTAATTTGTCATATTTCTCTTGTGATTCATGAATTTTAAGTTTAAGCTGTTTTATATTTTGTAATAATGCATTTTTCTCCTTAGATATTTCAGTTTCAACCTAAAATTATATATATTAATTTATTATTTTAACTTATTTATAATAATATAAATATTTCAATTTATGGCAAAACAGTAAAACAAAATATATTAAATGTATTTTATATATTGTAATGGCTGGAAATATTTACAATTATTACAATTTAGGCATTGTTATATTTATTATAACTATTCATTTTATAAATTTTCAATAATTAATTATTGACAAGTATATAAATTTAAAAACAAATATACATTTATCACGTGTGCTTATATATGTTACTGTGAAAGACTGAAATTAGAGAATGTCGACACATACAAAATACGTTGGTGAAAGACTGAATATTTGGTTATATTATTATACATTCGAACAATCGCTGGTGTATGTCGACAAACACAGATAAGCTTTGGTGGAGATCGAAACGACATCCGAGAAACCGATGTTGACAGAGGCAATTAGTCTATCACCAAATTCTTCGCTATTTCCTTCTGTTCAAATTGGTGATACCGTATGAATACAAGCCCCTGATGTCGACCATGGCCGTACAGATGCCCGAAATGTATTGGTGGTTGTTGTTGGATTAGAAGACTTCAACTTTTATAAATTAACAAACAAAAATGGTACCCTCAAGCAGCTTTATACCCATAATGAGTTCATAATTTGTAAAGAAAAGTTACTTTCCATAGATGAGATTTCTTCTCAAGAAATATCACTGAGAGAAGCAGCTGCAGCTAATTTGAAAAGTGGAGGGCAAGGCTATACATGCTGTCATTGCAAAAAGAAGTGTTCCACAAATAAATGCAGTTGTAAAAGCAAGGGACTTTTGTGCAATTCAAAGTGCCATAACAGTTTAACTTGTTGCAATAAATAAGATTGTATAATGTTAATCACACAATTTATGTGTAACTTTATTATTGTATTATTTTCTTTAATGATTTAGAATGTACTGTTTGTTTTAGGTTCAACAGTTTATTTACATGTGCTGTTACTTAAGCTTTCTCTATTTTGACATATTAGAAAGTTGCATTTTTGTCTTAATGTAATAAAAATACTTTTATTCAACATTCACCATCAGTGCATGCTGAATGTCGACATTTTCCGATGTAAGTGAGAAATAATGATATTTAGCAAATATTTTGTACATACACAAAACGACTGTGGGAATGCTGACATTCACTGGAGAATGTTGACATTCACCAGATATCGGTCATTCACAGTAACATATATACTATATAAATAATGCAGAAAAGCAATTTTAATTGATGTATTGTTAATTATCACATGATCACATCAATAAGGCTTATTTAGTGTAAAGAGTAAAAATTTTAAAAGTTAATTAAAAAAAATTAATAATAGCACCTGCTTTTTCTGTGCTAAAATCTGCAATAATTTTCCTTCGAAATCTTGTTCAAGTAACACTATTTTCTTCTTAAGTTGTGCTATTTCTTCTTGATGTGTATTTATTAATTCTTCATGTTCTTGTTGCAATTGCTTTTTAAGTTCTTCATGTGCTGATTCTAATCTGTTTCTTTGGGATTCCTTTATATTATAAATATATTATAAAATTCAGTATATTAAAGACTATTATATTAAATAAAAATATTTTAAAAAATTTATCATTACTTTTTCTTGTGAGAGCAAATCAATATCTAGTTTATGAGAATGACGTTCTTCTTGTAATGCTCTCTGATATTCTGTATCTAATGATTGAAGCTTTTGAACTAAATTATCTTTTTGACGAGCAAATGATTCTAAATCTGATTCTCTTAACGTTTTTATATTTTTTATTTGAACTACAAAGACAAATAAATTATACAATTAGAAGTGTAGTTCTTCAAATTAATTTAAAATATTAATAATTAAATCTCAACTACTTAAGAATAATAATACAAATGTTTAGCAAATATTTCATACTGCAAGTTTAGTAATAAAATTTAAAAATCTTTATCTTCATATATAGTATGCAGTATTACAATAATCTTAGCATAATGAATCTTCACAAAAATAGTTAAGAAAGTTTCTTAATCTAATAGATAGTCAAAGAAGTGATACAATTATCATCATAAAATATAAGAGTGGCTAAATTATAACTTTTTATCATTTTTGTTTTATAATTTTCATATAACAGAAAATTTTAAAAAAATTATAAATCTTTTTTTCAGAAATTAATTATACTAATTTAGTAAAAAATATACTAAAATAGAAAAAAATATATCTTTCTGAAAAAGTGTACCTACATATATTGAATTAATTTTGTGTAAAAATATCAACTTGTTACAAAGTTATTATCTCACCACAACTGGACAGGACACTAACAATGTAGTCAAAAAAGGAGTATTCAAAAGAACAGCATCATAAATCAAATTTGAAACAAGCAATAAGGTGCATGTTACTGCATTATGATTTAATTTCATCAATCATGTGCATGTGCATCTTTTTGAAAGTTTTGAATTTGATTTGTGACACTATTCTTTCAAATGCTCATTTTTTTGAATTTGTATTATACCTGATGCAGATTTTAGAAGACTGAAAATGTTAATTTTCTGATGAATTAGATCTGTTGTTAGACTACATCAACATCAATTTGTGTTATACATTAGTGATGTAACGAATATTCGGTTACTATTCGGTATTCGGCCTATTCAGCCGAATACCGAATACCTAAAAACAGGAGTAATAAATAACAAAAACACAGTAAATTAATCATTTTGGTATTTAGATTTAATGTTATCGAGTTAGTGTTGTTTGTTTATATTTATTTATAACTTGTAACATGCACGAAATAAAAAAGAAAATAATATTAGTCACATGTATTCACAATTTATAATTACAAAGATCAGCACACG